AGCCAGGGCTCCAACACACTCTGAAGCTGCTGCGGCCAGCTTGCCTAACCTGTTGGGCCACCAGGGAGGGCTTCCATATGTTTTCTTAAAGAATGCTTCTTTTGTAGTTATGGAGTATGGTGTTCTACTAATTAGGGATTGAACTAATTAGGTCAGGTTTATTTATAATATTCAAATCTTCTATATCTCTATTATTTTCCTGCTTATTCTGTCTTCTATGAAAGGTGATATGTTAAAATCTTCCACTATGATTGGTGCTTTGACTATTATTTCTTATAGTTCTATTATATTTTGATTTAAAATTTTTTGAAGCACTATTAGATACATATGAATTTGGAATTTTTTCTTTCTGGTGAATTTCACATTTTTCCTCACAGACTGTCCTGTCTTATCTCTATGACTGCTCTTTTGACTGAAGGTCCATTTTATATGATGATAGTTTTAGAAACTTTCTTTTGGTTAATATTTTTATATTTACCCACATATTTACACTTTTCATCCTCCTTTGTGGGAATACACATTTTTAATCTTACCTGGGGAACAACTTTCAGTATTTCTTATTATGAATTTGTTAGTGATGGCTTCATTTTTGTATGAGAATACTTGTATTTCACCTATGCAGGTGAAACTATATATGGAGGAGGATTTTGTATATGGCAATATAAATAGAAGTTGACAGTAATTTTCTTTCAACACTTTAAACATAGCCTTTCATGGTCTGGCTTCCATTTTTCCTGTAGAAAAGTATAATTATTGGTCCTTTGAAGTTTTTATTTCATGGTTGATTTTTAAAGAAAGGTTTATTTATTTATGCATACAGAACTGGGGTACAGGCCAGAGGTGCCGGGGCAGTGAGAGGCTTCACCAGTGACAAAGTGTGGAGCAGACAGGCAGATCAACGAAGTACACTGCTGAGGGGAGCAGCGGGCGGATCAGAAGTCTGCCGCGCCATATGGATCACCTCTGGGCCGGGGATCAAACTCATGCTGAAGTGGCTTTAACTTTTTAGTGCTGTGCTTTAACCCACTGCGCCACCAAGGAAGGCCCTATTTCATGGTTGATTTTAAGATATTTTTTTGTTTGGTTTTCAGTAGTTTTACTCTAATGTGCATAGGTGTGATTTTTAAAAATTTTGCTTAAGTTTTAAGGGCTTTTTGATTATGTGGCTTTGTGCTTTGGAAAGTTCAGAAAATTCTCAACCATTATTTCTTTAGATAGTCTCAATCATTCTCCCCGCTCTTCCTGAAATTTTAGTACACATCTGATAACCTTTTCCCTGTATTCTCTGTCTCTTATCCATTCTTAATATGGTTATGCTCCACTGAACAATGCTTCAATCAACAATCGACAATGGGCTACAGGTATGACAGTGGTCCCCATAAGCTATTAGCCTAGGATTGTATTAGGCTATATACCATCTAGCTTTGTGTAACAACACTCTATGACATTGGCATTATAAAATCACACAACAATTAAATCGCCTAAGGCATATTTCTCAGAATGCACTCCACATTGGTAAGCAATGCACAACTGTATTTTCATCCTTTTATGGCTCTGGGATTCATTCCGGATAGTTTCTGGCAGCCTACATTCCTGTTCAACAGTGTTCTCTTCATCTGTGTTAAATCAATCCATTTTGTGCCTAATTTAGATTGTTCCAGGTTTAATTCTAGAGTTTGTTGGTTTTATAGTTTCCATTTAGCTCCAGAACTTTTGCAAGTTGTCTTTTATCTCCTTTGCCTAGTAAGCATCTTTTATTTTCAATGTGTGTCTGATAACTGTAGTATCTGAGCCCCCAGTGGGTCTTTGCCTATTATCTGTCGTTTCTGAGGCTTCTTTTACTTTAGATGATAGAAAAGTTGTCTTGTGTACTTGGTTACTTCTTTTGTGTAACAGATATTGTATTTTGCAAAACTTCAGCAGTAATTCGAGGCTGATGATATTTCTTTCCAAAGAGAATTTTATTTGTGTCAGCAAGCTACTTAAAGGCATTAACTCTGGGATTACCTTAACCCATTTCTCAATGATTGAGATTATTCAAAGGTAAACTGAAGTTCTTATAAAAGCCCACCTACCTCTTGTTCATTCTGACTCTGACATGCTGACTCTGTCTCCAAGGCAAACCTGACCCACCCACTTGCACACAACCAGAGAGCATTTTCTTTTTCATTCAGCTACAATCAAGTCTCTCTGAGGTCAACAGGGAGATGATAGCTGAACCCCAAAGACTACAATCTAAAGACAGTGGAATTCACCTGGTACACCTATTGGCAAGATTTGAATGCAGATGTCTAACTTCATAGTCTCCAGAGGCTGTCCAAAATTCTGCATTTCCTCTCAACAGTCTTCTCAATAGCTGTATGAGATCCACTGGGGTAAGTGACCCTAATTAAACTCAACACTCTCTACTCTTATTCTAAACGAGTACCCATTGCTATCTTATTAGCCCTCTAATGCCTTTGGCAAAATAAAAGTATGTATTTTGTCCAGCTTCCTCAATCAGCAGTAGTACTGGTTTAACTTACTCATCTCCCATTTACCTAAGTCACTAGCAAGAACTTTTAGCAATTTGTTGTTGAATCTGCTATGTATACATAAAAATGCAAAAAACTTAAGTATTCAACTCAATAAATTTTCACAAAGTGAAAAAGAAGCAAAGCATTACAAGCACACTGGAAGCTCTTCCTCCCCAAGTCCCCATCTAGTTCATAATGCATTTTAGGGGTAACCACTGTTCTGACTTATGATACAGAAGGTTGGTTTTGTGCTTGTTTTTTTTAAATTTTATGTAAATAGACTCACATATATTCTTTTGTATCATTTTTTGCTAACATCTGTGAGATTAATCCATACTATTGTGTGTCTGATATTCATTTCCATTTTTGAATATACTGTATGTTATTAATCCCATCCTATTGTTGATATATGTGTGGGTAGTTGCACTTTGGAACTGTCATGAATAGGGCTACTCTAACCACTCTTATATATTTTTTGATGAGCATATGCATGAATTTCTGTTGTGCATAAGGTCATCAGTTGTACACATCTTTAAAGACAAACTAAAATTTAGAGCCCGGAGTGTAGTGAAATCAGCGAGGTAAAGGCTGCTTAAAGGAGGCTGGTCTGAAAAGTCAGATGGTCTTGCCCAGGAGACAGATATGTTCAAGTCCATAGCGCATTGACCTTCACATTTGGCACTGCAGTCAGAATGTGTTTTCCTGTAAATCCCATTCTCAGAAATAACCAGTGATGACATTTTGGTAAACATCACTCCATAAAATTCCTTATATATATATAAAAGCATGCATAAATATTTTTCTTAAAAACCCAGCATTTCCAAGAAAAATGAGCAGAGGCAATAAATATTTAAATATCTTTCTCCATGCTTTATGTTATGAAATTTCTCCTCTCACGGGTTCACAAAAGATGGTGGATAATAGTGGCTGAGAGCAGGGGAAATTAAGAAATGAGCTGTTGTCCAGCATTCCAGGAAAAGAAAAAGAAATACAAACAGTTGCTTGAAGATGTAGTCCTTCCCTGGAAGTTAGAGAAAGGCAAAATGGAAGTGCATTGGGGGGAAGGGAGATAGGGCTTAGCGTTGGCAAAGACAACAAATGACAGGTCTGGTGTGCTGGGGAGAAGGGAGGAAGAACACTGTTGGTGGGGAGGGGACTAGGGGGCCATGGCGCAATAGCGACATGTGTCTCAGGTGACTAAGAATTGTGGAGAAGTGGTCCCTTGGGTTCAGCTATGGCTCCCTGTTGGCTGCAGAGACTTGATGGTAGCTGAGTTAAGAAGGAAGAAACTGCTCTGGTTGTGTGCAGGTGGCTGCTCAGGGTCGGTTTTCCTTACATCCCCACGCTACCCACCAGATACTGTCAGTTTTTTAAATGGTGTATAAGTCAAGGGGAGAGCTGATGATGGGCTCCAGGAGTGAGAAGTCAAAATTCTTTGCTGAGTCTTGAATCAGTGAGAGGTAGGAATTGTGATTCACCACTTAGCACTAAACGCTGGCTGACATATTCATCTGTTGGCTTGCTCTTCTGAATGTAGGGGGTGACACACCCCAAAGGAAAGGGAAAGGAAAAAAATGAAAGGATGTTTGGCAGAAACTCAGTATTCCTTCAAGGACATGCAGGACCTGAACCAGTCACAAGGGGGTGCTAGAAGCAAATGTGAAACCGGAACCTGTCCTTGGCACTCTAATCTGGTCTTCAAAAAAGAATGACTTAATTGCAATCCTTTCTGGCTCTAGAGAAGCAGCTGCAATAAATTAGGAGTAGAGAACAAAAGTGGATACTTGAGGGGACAGAGTGAAGTCAAGCGAGGGACCAGGGATCAAGGGAGTGGAAAAGGTGGGATGGGGTCCAGATCCAAAAGACTGGGGGTCAAGGGGAAGGGTGTGTCTGATACTAAATGGAGGAAATTTGAAAGCTAGATTTCTCAGTCTATGCCAGTACATGTGTCAGTCTTCACCTTTCATTGTCTGTCTGAAGACATAAATCAAGGCAGGGGTGGAAGGACACTGTGCTCCACAGTGTGATATCCTGGAGAAAAGGGTGGAGATAGGGAGGTGGGAGTCAAGGTCAGGAAGGGAACTCAGCTTCTCCCTTCTCAGCCTTTGCTCTCTTTTCCTCTTTGGTACTGGAAACCTCACAAGCTATGCCTCTGAGGAATCAGTGGGGATTAGATAAGGCGGATAAGTGTCCGCAGAGATACAAGTGAGTGTGAAGATCATAAATGAAATAGAGATATTGATACCCTGTATACTGTTTGTGGAAGTATCTGTTTGGGGAGATTCCTATCACAGCACCATGTGTTTTACGCTAGGTCCATGACAGATGCCAGGTTCATGACAGATGCCAGTTAAGACAGCGTATGTGCAGAAAGAGGAAGCTCTAACAATTCCTCTCTAGAAAACCAAAAGATGACTGTTTCCACTGTAGGAAGCTTCTGTGGGCTGCCATAGATGTCATAGGAGACTGAAAGGACAGAGCGCTATGGACAGGGATGAAGGTAGGTCCCTGGTGTAAGAACCAAAAAGGAACAGGGTTGGGGGGTTACATCAACCATGGGTAGTAAGTACCTGGGACACCCAAAAAAGGACAAAGTTCCAATAATAAGAATCAGCCATAACCTCAAGAAAATGACATTTCCTGGTAATATTTAGCAATTTAAAGCTGTCACTTGTATTCTTGGATTCTCAAGTATCCTTTCATTCAGAACAAATAGTATTTGCTCAACCCAAGGAAGCTGGCTTTTCATTCAGCCACAATATCAATAGTCATTTGGCCAGACTCTCCACTGTCAGAAACACAATCCCCACTCCCGACCCCGCTCTTGAGGAGAAGGCCTGGTGTGCCCTGGATAACTGGGACATGAGTGCCACTGTCCAGGGCCAGATTAAGATGTCCATCAATGAAGTGTGGCGGGAGGCGGTGTCACTCTGCTGCAGCTCCCTTCTGCAGCAGGCAGGAGTGAGGCTGTTAATAGGCATGACGGTTATTAACGCCGCGCTTGCCAAGCCCGCTTCAGACTTGAAGTTTCCTTTGACAACAGAGGCAAGTGGATGTGCTGACGCCGCTCAGGTTTGGAAACCGCTGATGGGTTTGTGGGAAAAGCCAGGCTCCGCTGGGCAATTGCTGCACGCCCAGAGGCTGCTCTCATCCATGTCCCTCTCTGTCAGGCCCGGAAACAGAGAGCTTCCCCCAGGCACCCCGGTCTCTTAAATGGCCGCCCCCCCCCCCCACCACCACCAGACTGGGACTGAATCCAGCCCCACCCACTTGGGGAACACATGCTGGTGCTCTCCTCAGGAGCCTGTGGGTGGGTGCCACTGAAGAGGGGGCACTGGCCAGTCGCGGCAGCCTGGGGTGGAACGACAGCTGTTGAAGGCAGGACCCGCGCTTTCTGGCCGAGGGTGTGTGTGTGGGGTGGGGGTGGGGGGTCCTGCCAACTCTGAGGGAGTACTCAGGTGCGGCTCTGTGCAGGCCCAGGGCTCTGTGACAAGCCACTGCCTTGCAGCCCTCCCCTGCGTGCAGGAGCTTTTGCGCTGCCAGCCCAGCAGGAGGCGCTCCCTGTCAGAGCATCACCAGGGAGGCCTGGCCCGCGCTGGCGCCCCTGCCCCGGCGGGGCCATTGGTGGCGGCCAGACCCAGAGGGAGCTGCTGCCGCCCCTGCCTTCGCTTGCCGCTGCCTAGGCTGAACTCCTTGCCCTTACCTTGTCCTGGGCCAGCCCCTGCTGGTGAAGCTCTTCATCAAATGAGGCCGCTCCCCTTGTGCCTGCGGTCCCCAGTTAGCCTCCCCCACCCAAGCCCGCGTCCCTGTCTAGCAACAATAAAGTTGTGTGTTTTGACTGGCAAAGCCCAGGCGCGACTCTTGTCCTTGAGTGGGCCGCCCACGCGACCAGAAGGGGAGCCGAACTCGGGCAAGGCTCTGGGACTGGGCTCCCTGGCAGGGCCTGCTGCTGTGCTCCTGTGAGCTGGGGCTGGGTGTGGGCTGTGGAGTTCAGGAGGAGCTAGCTGCAGGAGGGGCTGGGGTGGGGGCTGCGGCCAGGGCTCTCGGCAGGGGGTGGGGAGGGGGGACTCAGCGGCGGGCTTGAGGGGCTGGAAGAGCCTCCACACAGAAATCTGGAGGGGGCGGCAGGGGGAAGGTGTCTCTCCTTGACTGCCAGCCCAGAGAAGGTCGGCATCCCAAACGTGCCTGCGCAGCCTTGCTGGCCACCCCAGCACCCACCCGCACACGTGAGCACACGCACGCACCCTGATGCCCTGGACCTGTGGCCACCCGCCCAGTGCCAGACTCCAGGTACCCTCTCCTGGGGAGCAGCTGCTCAGACTGCTTTCAGCACCCCTTCCTTGGCACCCCAAGCTCCAACTGGGGGCAGGGTGACAAGGATCAGCCCCAGTCTCCTCTGGAGGAAGCCCCTCTCTGCTCTCTCCCTGGCGCTCAGAGACCTCCACCAAGGGGAGCTGGGGGCCCCCCGTAACTAAACGCCCAGTGCGGTGGGAGGGCAGAGGCCCAGGCGCTTGGCATGGCCTTGGCTGGACCCTCCGCCCGGAGACACGTCACCCTTCGCCAGAGGCCCTGGCTGCCACCCCTTGGTGCAAGGAGAGAGCCCGGCCGGGCCTGAGTCCACGGAACCAGCCCACGCATCTGCATCTGGGCGATTTCACCAGCCCTCCCTGCGCTCCAGGCCCCTCCCAGCAAGCCCTGGCCCTGCACCCACAGCCAGGCTCCCTGCCTGCCCTTCAGGCCTCAGGCAGAGGTCCTCTTCCCAAAGGAAGAGGACCTGGCCCACACAGTGCAAAGACTGCTTCCCTTGGGCATGCTGCTAGCCCTGGAGTTTGGGCTGGGGCATTGGAGGGAGGGCGCAGCTTTCCTGCTGGCACCCGCCTGCCCCGTGCTTCAGGAGTGGCTGGCATGGGCACCCCGCCAGTTGCAGGACCCACTCTGGGGAGGGGAGCCTCCTGCCCGCCCGGAATGGGGGCCCTGGGGTGCTCATCACAGCCCGAGCTTCCTCACAACGTGCTGTGAGCAGCTGCCCTGCTTGATGTGACCTGAATGGCGGGGGCACCCAGCCCTAGGGATGTCTGCTGTGCATCTGGGGCTGCCACCCCGCATGCCCTCCAGCTCCAGCCAGGGCCCTGCCTTGGCTTCTCCTTTGTCCCAGGCTCACATCTGCCTCTGTGCCTGTGGGCACTGGCCTCCACGTGATCTCCCAGGGCCTCCTCGGCCTGCCACCCCTGTGGGGATTTTGGAACTTAACTCCCCTTGGCCCACATAAGCACAGGCAAGGTTGCAGGCAGCCTGCTGCCAGCTGGTCCATGCCATCTCCAGCACCCCATCTTCACAGGGTGGCTATGTGCCGCCCCCTCCAACCACTCTCTCCCTCGGTCCCAATCTTGAAGAGGTTAGCCCCCGACCCCCTCAGACAGGCATTGGGTGGGTTGTGGGTGGCACCCAGACCAGCTCCAAGCTGCCCCAGCACCAGTCGGCTAAGAGCTCCCAGCCAAACTGAGGACTGGCTCCTGGCATCCTGCGCATCCTGCGCATCCTGCGCATCCTGCGCATCCTGCCAGGGGGTCACTGATTGTTGGGCTCAGCGCCCCACAGCCCAGCCAGGTCCTGCAGGGGAGCAGGAGCCCCTGTCTGTTACCCCTGCACCTGTCCCCTTAGCCTGTCACTCCCCTCCACACTGGCACTCAGGAGGGCTGACTCTGCTGGACTCCTTGCCCACGCGGATAGACAGACAGCCTCCCCCGCACCACTGCCTGCTTGTCCTCGGGCTTCTGTGCGGCACCTTCTGGCATCCTCAGGCACCCACCCAGCCAAGCAAGCATCAACTCTGGGCCTTGCCGGTGTTCAAGTCCCTCCTGAGATGCACCCTTTCTCCCCAGGGACCTGTGCCTCAGGACCCTCCGCTCACTTCACTGGCTGCCCTTGGCCAGTGGGCTCTGTATGTGCGTGTGTGAGCTTGCGTGTGTGTGTGTACACGTGTGGGTTGCGTGTGAGTGCGTGTGTGTTGGCAGGCAGGGTTGTGTGGGTGCTTGTCAGCAGGGCTCTGGCCTAGGCACCGGGTCAAGGCACCCACTGGCCCCTGGTGCTGCTCTAGCACCCGGGTGTCCTGAACACTGGTTTCTTCCCTCAGCAAAATCACTTGATCTGTAGCAGAGAAGTAGTGATTCTTTTCCATATATAACCTTATGAGGTATCTGATATAGGGGCTATAGTCTATCTTGAAAAATCCCCTACATTGCCATGGTTTCTTCAACTCTCCTTCTTTTCTTGTAGTATAATTGATCAGTCAAGAATGTAAGTTCTTTTTTGTCACTGTTGCTTCCCCACCCCGAACTTTTAGATATTTATTTTATTTAAGAAAGGGAAGCCTTTAACATCCCAAAATTATTCTTTAAAATCTCCTTATATTTCCTTCCATACAAATAATTTCCTCTTTATAATTAGCTCCTTTGTTAGCCTACCACTATTATGTGTTTGTTTACATGTCTGTATGTTGGGTTTGATGTAGACATTGTACCTGTATCTTCTGTAAATGTATAATTATACAGTATCATTTAATATAGAATATTTTGTTTGAGAATAGCATAGTTTATTAATTAATTGCCAAGGGTTGAAATCTTTACAGTTTCCCAATTTGACATTTATTCATTTAGATTCTTTTAGTCACTTAGTAATGTCTCTTGTTAATGATCGTTCACATTTCTTTTCTGTGTATTCCTCAGGTTTGTTGGTGTTTTCTCTTTTGTGAATGCATGATCTCTACTTTCTCTGAGAACACTCTGCTAATTTGTATCCACTGCCCTTGCTCCCCATGCAAATACCTGGACATTTCTATGATTTCTGCTGCTTTTGGAACAGCAGTAAAAGAGGAGGGGCGGATTTTCAAGTGTCTACTACTCTTAAAGAGAAGGGGTGGGGGTAAAGGACAAAGTATTAAGCTCCATCATTCCATGTGTCCTCTTTTTGTAGAACTCTCCTAATAGACCCTTTCATTTCTTTCATTTTACTTTTATATTTTCTTCTTCCTTCTCTGGCTGTGGGTGGCTCAAACTGGTTCTTCTGGTTTATTCAGTCATGTTTCTTTACCCCCTGGCAAAGTCTCCATTAAGTCTAGCCTAGCCATCAGTATTCTTTTGTTCTTTGCTCTTGGATCTCTTTGGATATGGGATGATTTTGAAGGAAAGAAAGGGGGGGGGTGTGGTTCAAGTTTACTCCACAAATAAGCACTCCCAATAACCATGTCACAGAGCCCCCCTCTGGAAAAATATTTGCATCTTACAAGGAGCAATTGTGGATTTGTAAATATATATCTAGGCCTTTAAGCTGGATAGTAGGATGGATTCTGGATAATAGGATGTCTCAGCTAGGGGTGATCATGTAGAGATAAAGATAGAGATAGGGTGAAGCTCCCACCAGGCTTCTCTCAGCGTTCTCTGCTCTGTCACTCCCTTCTTATGCATTTTTCTCAGGCCTCTGGGGGTTAGAACAAAGAGAAATGTATGTGGAATTAAGTAGCTCCATGAAGCATTTTTTTAAACATGATACTCACAAGGCTGGGCAAAGACAGGTGAGGAAGTCCTTTACATTTCATTGTAAATTTAAATTTAACCTTTAAAGAAAAAACAACATCTCATTGATTCCAAAGACAAAGATAGCAAAGGGCATATCTTGAAAATTTCCCCATCATCTGTCTGTCACCACCACCCAGTTCTCCTGCACCAGCGCAATGTTATCATAATTCCTTATCCATTTCTCCCAGAATATAGACATGCATCTAATGTATGTAGTCACACAGAGTCTTTTGATATCACATAAAACAATTGCACTTTAGTTTATAGATGAATAGTGTTTTATTACATAAATATGCCATAATTATTTAATCAGACCCTATGTAGATATTAAGCATCTCCTTCCATTTTTTTTTATATTTTAAGATTCATGTTTACACATATTTCTTTTTCTACCATTCTTCCTTTCCTCCACCAGTTTTAGTTCATTGAATTATATTTTTTCTCTCTACCTTTGCACTACTTGATCTGCTCAGACCCCTGTTGCTAGGATTTGCCTGCTTTTGGTGATACATTTTGACCCCAGCTATAAAATATTAGAAAAAAATCAACATATTACGTTACCTTTCGCCTTCTTTTTCTTTCCTTTCCAGTTGTTTACTGTATCATTTCTGCTCCATCTGGGATTGTCACCATTTCGTTTGTTCTGTAGCCATTATCACCACATTTGTTTTTGTGTTTGCCCTAAATTTACAGAGATTTTGACACTAATTGCTAGACTTTTGTTAGTTTCTTTCTTCTTTGTGTTTCTGTCACTTCTGCTTTCATTTCTGTGATTGTTAAATTTCTCTGCATTTTCCCTGAGGCCTGACAGCTCACATTTCACTGCATTCTTGTCTTGCTATCCAGTTCTTGAATTCTTGTTTAACTGGTTCATTAAAACTTTCTAATACATGGTGAAATGTTTGGGAACCATCTTCATCAACTCTTTTGCTGTTGAATTTTCTTTATCTGTCATACATTTTTGCAGTCCCTTTCATCCTTTTTTTTAAAAATTTTTTGGTGTGTGTATTATCTGTGTTTCCCTCTGTATTCCATTTTGATTCCCCATCTTTAAGGAACATCAGGTTACATTGAGCCAGTAGTTTGCAAAAAGTTCATTTAAGACAAGGGCCAGGATTGTCTTCCTTGATACAAAGAATTTTCATTGGTTCAAATCAGTGGCCAGAGGTAGCTGTGTGGCCATGATGAGTGCAAGCTCTTTTCTCCCCTGTTGCTCAGAGGCAGATTCATCTTCACTGCTACCCTGGATACAGATTGCTTACTG